CACTTGGTCAGACTTTCTGTTTTCAGGAACTTGACTGTTTCATTGAGTCCCGGTCAAGTAAGACAAGACGCCTCCCTTTGCATCTACCCGATGCTTCCCTCACGGTTAGCTTTGACATGTGGGAAGGGTCTGGGTTTGGGTTTTTAGGGGGAAAACCAAAGCAGGATCCCATACTGTCCTGTGAGCCCAGCCCACCCGGCCAAGGTCACACCTGCAGGTTGCTGGCCTGTGAAGTAACTTTCCCGTGGTGCTTGGAAGCACGTCACACTCACTGCGCAGGCGTGGGGAACGAGTAGCGCGGGGAGTGTTTGGGATTCTGACCTGCGCCTCTCTCCTGCTTATTATTCCATCACTGAAGCACGGCACCCTCAGGACTTGGGTTTCATCCAACACATTAGTTCATTGGTTGCTTCGGTTGTTCCGGCTCTGGCTCTGGGGAGCACTTTCTGGTAGGCCCTGGCATCACTTTGAGCTGTGTCACCATCCTTTAGGCATTTGGAGGCACCTTTGTGATGTGGCCTGGCACTGCCACATGCACCGGGCTCATTTCTGTCCTCCCTCAATCCTTGAAGCAGACATTTCTCTCAGCAGCCTGGTTCCTTTGGCTGGAGAGCAGCATTAGAAATGAAGATCCAGGCAGAAGTGGCCCAAGGTCCACCTGGACACCTGGAGTCACCGCTGTCCACATCTGTTCCTTGTGGCTCATGGCCTGCTGCCATGCCCATCAAAGACCGCTTCCTCATTCGTTGCACCCTGAAGTACCTGGGTCAGGGGGACTTGGTGTTCAAGGACTTGGTGACAGTCATGACAGTGAATTACAACACACATGAAGAGCTGGGCGGGGGTGCCGAAACCCCTGGTGCAGCTCATGATGGTCGAGAACATGACACCAGTACCCTTCCTGCACTTCTTCCTGGATTCTGGAGAGCAGGTCCTGGTGGAACCCAAGAGCAAGAAGGAAATCATGGCACACATCTGAGGATCTTGGGGAAGAGGAAGGAAGCCCTCAAGAAAGAGGAGCAGGAGAAAAAGCAGCTAACTTTCACCCAGCCAACTTTGGCCCCTGGAAACATTGCCTGCGAGAGTGCGTCTGTGAGGTAGAAGGACAGGTGCCAGGCCTGGTTCCCCGGGGAGATGATGGGAAGTACAAAGCGGCCCTGAGGCCAATGGCAGGACCGAGGGCCAGGGCCACTCTGGCTGGGACAATAGGGCCTGACCCTGGGGGCGTGGGTGGGGTGCAGTGGGGCATGAGGAGCTGGGATTCTTGTGGCCCCAGGTTCTGTCTCAGACATGTTGAAAACCTGTAACAATAAAAGGTCCTGACATGCCTGTGGCACAGAACATGGAGAAAAAATGAATGAAGATACAAGGGCCAGTGTTGTGGCACTGTATCACCTGAGATGCCACACCCCATATGAGCACTGGTTCAAGTCCCTGTAGTCCCACTTATTTTTTTTTTTAATTTATTTCTTTTTTATTGGAAAGGCAGATTTACAGAGAGAAGGAGAGACAGAGAAAAGGATCTTCCATCTGCCGATTCACTCTACAAGTGGCTGCAACGACCAGAGATGAGCCTATTCGAAGCCATGAGCCAGGAACTTCTGGGTCTCCCACACAGGTACAGGGTCACAAGACTTTGGGCCATCTCTGCTGCTTTCCCAGGCCACAAGCAATAAGCTGGATGGGAAGCAGAGTAGCTGGGATATGAACCAGCACCCATAGGGGATCCCGGCACAAGCAAGGTGAGGACTTTAGCCACTAGCTACCACGCCAGGCCCAGAATGGAGTTTTTGAGGTAGACATTTGGTACAATGATTAGGCTGTTGCTTGAGGGAACTGGTGCTGTGGCACAGTTTGTTAAGCAACTGCTTACAGTGCCATCCTGTATGGGCATTGCTTTGAGTCCCAGTAGTTCCACTTCCAATCCAGCACCCTGCTAATATACCTGGAAAAGTCCTTGGGCCCCTGTACCAATGTGGGAGACCTGGATGAAGTGCCCGGCTCCCAGCTTCAGTCTGATCCAGCCCTGGCCACTGCAGCCATTTGGGAAGTGAACCAGTGGATGGAAGATCTTTCTCCCTCTGCTTCTGCCTCTATGTAATTCTTTCAAATAAATAAATATTTTTTAAAAAGTGTTTCTTGGGACTCCTGCATACTTTGAGTCCTAGCTGCACTTCCAATTTCGGCTTCCTGCTAATGCATATGCAAGGAAGCAGCAGGCCACTCAGACACCTACCACCCACATGGGAGACCCAGACGGGAGTTCTAGGCTCTGGATTTGACCTTGACCTGCCCTGGCAGTTGGAGGCCTTAGGGGGACAAAACCAGCAGTCGGGACATCTCTCTCTCTCTCTGCTCACCACCATCTCTGACTCTGCTTTTCAAGTGAAAACATTGTAATTGTTTTATATGCATAGAATGTGCCCCTTCCCAGCCCTACTTACTGTCCTGTTTCCCTCAGTGCCATCTCATTGCACCTACAACAACTGGAAGAGGTCGGAAGCGTGGCTGTCCCCACAGAGAAGGAAATGGGCTCAGAGTGCCCGGCCTGCACAGGTGACACTGGTTTCCCTGCAGATAGCTGTCAGCCCAGCCTGTGTTCCTTCCTGGGTGCTACTGGCTGCAAGACCCACTTGGCCTTTGGGAGGTTCAGGGGCCACTGTGGGACCCTAATGTGAGATGAGTGCCTCCCATTCAGGGCACAAGGACACCTTGGGGTGCTGTTGCAATAAGAGAAGTGTAATCAGTGTGGCTGGGACAGAGCACAATCCGTGCTCAGTGGTGTGACCAACAGCTTGGCCAGGGGAGCCCCAAGCAGTCTGGGTGTTTGCCTTCAGGTAAGGGAGGAAAGCTGGGTACAGACCACATGAGTGAAGGTCAGAAGGGAGGATGCCCAGCTGGCAGTATTGGCGAGGCTGTGTGCAATGAACAGGTAAGAAGCAGAGCTGTGTAACAGGCTGCTGCCCCGGCCCCAGTTCTTATCTCCTCTCAGCCTGGCCCAGCCCACTATCCGGCAGTTGGTCCTTCAGAGCCGGGCTTGGGGTTCATTGGTCCCTTCTCCTGCAGTCTTTAGCAGGCTGGTGCTACCCTAGGCCCCTTCATTCCCCATTAGCCTAGGGTTTCTGCCTGCAGCTGTCTGTTTCCCTGACAGACCACGGACAGCTGCCAGTAACTGGCTTGGCTACAGTGCTAGGTCCTGGCTGCTGACAGCACAGCATGCGCCTGCATGGGGAGCAGTCCCAGAAGCACCGGGTGGGGTGTGTACGGGACTGGGGGAGGAAGAGTGATCCAACCCTGCAGCCTCTCTTTGGGAGCCCGTGCTGTGTGGCATGCTGCTCTTTGGGAAGCCAGCCCTGCACACAGCCCTGCTGCCCGCCCCCTACCGCCCCCAACCACCAGCCAGGAGAGCAGTCTGAAAGGAAAGCAAGGAGGCAGGGCACAGCAGTCAGAGGCTGCTCAGGAACCCCGTATCCCACATGGCAGGGCCTGGGTTCGAGCCCCTGCCCAGGAGATTCCACCTGCCCGCTAATGTACGCCCCGGAAGGCAACAGGCCATGGCTTGAGTACTTGGGTCCCTGCTTCTCTCGTGGGAGACTTACGTGGATCTCTGGACTTCTGGCTTCTGCCAGGCTTTAGTAGGCATTTAGGCCAGTGAGCCAGGTAGTCTCCTTGCCTTTTAAGTAGAGTGAAAATAAAAGATTTACTTTTTTTTTTTTTTTAGGAAGTGAATCCAGATCCATAGTGAAGGATCACTTGTTCTCTCACTTGAGGGTTTAGCTGCTCCTCCCTGCTGCACTTCCGGTAGGCTGGGGTGGGTTGTGGTTAGTGTTCTAATAGTTCCAAGCCCCCTGTATGTCCTAGAACCTCCCCTCCTAAGGCAGGACCTCTTTCGTCAAATAAATAATTCTCAGTGCCCCAGTGAGCGGTAAAATGGTTGTTGAAGAGATAAGGCTTTCAAGCCTCACAGGTTGAGATAGGGACCTGGGCGTGAGGGGACAGAGCCAGAGTATGGGGAACCCCGAGTTTCATTCCACCAGCTCTGGGGAAGGCCAGATTTGGGATCTGGGGCCCAAGTTTGCAGGAAGCTATAGGTGCAGATTCTGTGGGAACATGACCTTAGCGAGAAAAGACACAAGGAGACGATTTCTCGAAGGTTCTTTATATATTCACGACTCCAATCCTGTTGGGATATGGGATTGGGATTGAGGTGCTCAGACTCGAATCCTCAATCCCCTCCTCCCCGGCCTAGTGTAGCGCAAAAGTGAGGGACCGAACTGCTGCCTCAGGGGACCCCCGCTACCCTGGTCACCCCTCTCCGGGTCCCAGTCTCACTCTCCACCCCAAGCCAAGAGAAGCAGAAGGGGCAAGGACTCCCCTGATGAAGAGCCGGACACGTAGTAGGCTCTCAAGAACAGTTCCAGCCCTTCCAGGCGTCGGCCACCCAGAGCGGGGACCGGCCAAGTGCGGCCGGTCGCCCAAGGTCACGCGCCCGGGCGCCCCACCACGCGACCCCGGCTGGCGGGACTCGCAGGCGCTCGGGTCCGTGCGGAGCGCGCTGACAGGGCGCAGGGCCCTCGCTCGCGGCTCCGAGGAGAGGAGCGTGGAACGGGGTCCGCACCCCGGGCCCGGGCTTCGCCCCGCCGCCTTACCTTCCCGCGACCCGGGAGGGGCGTCGCGGGAGGACGGGGGAGGGGCGGCGGTTACCTCATCGCCGCCGGCGGGAGGCCCCGCGCTCGCTCGCGCCGCGCCTGAGGCGACGAGCGCCGGCGGCGGAGCGGGAGGAGGACGAGGAGGTGAAAGGTGGAGGGGGTGTGAGTGGAGGAGAGCGGGGCGCCGCGAGGAGGTCGCACCTCGGCGCCCCGAGCTTGCCAGCCGGCGTTCGCGCGGCGGAGGCGGTGTCTGCGCGGCGCGCCCGCTCGCTTCTCGCCTCAGAGTCTCGGCGCCCGCCGCTGCTTCCTCCGTCCTCCTCAGAGACTCTTCGGGGCGCGCAGTGGCGGGCGCCGACCCACGAGCCTTGCCGGCGCGGGCCGGCCATGGGGGGCAGCCTGCGGGTGGCCGTTCTGGGCGCCCCAGGCGTGGGGAAGACGGCCATCATCCGCCAGTTCCTGTTCGGAGACTACCCCGAGCGCCACCGGCCCACGGACGGGCCGCGCCTCTACCGGCCCGCGGTGCTGCTCGACGGGGCCGTGTACGACCTGAGCATTCGCGACGGCGACGGTGACGTCCCCGGCCCGAGCCCCGGGGGTGTCGAGGTAGCGGCTCCCGAGGGGCGGGCAGGGGCGTGTGCCCGGAGGAGGTGCTTGTGCTCGGTGCACGCCGGTGCGGGGCCGCGTGCAAAGGGATGGGAAGAGGATGCGTGTGTCTGTGTGTCCGGGGGCCCGTGCGCCCCAGGCTGCCCGCGTTGCCAAGGCGCGGCCCCCTCCCTTCGCAGGTGCCTCTGCCTTCGCCGCCTCCGCTTGTGAAAGCCGGATGAGTGTGAGAGTGTGTGTGTGCGCGCGCGCGCGCATCTGGGGTCCTAAGCACAGCCGCAGTGCGAGACGCTGGGGTCGGGGGCCGGGGGTGTGGTACTTCCTCGGAGGGTGGGGTCGCCTCTGCACCCCGCATTCCTGAGACCTGCAACAGCTGATTTCCTTAGGAGCTGACACACCCCCAGTCCTTGTAGCTTGCATCTGCCTCGTGAAGGGTGAAAGAGGCAAGTAGGGATGGAGTGAAGCAGGGCTTCCCGGAGGGGGCGGCGGCGGAGCCGAGCCTTGGCTGCAGGACGGAGGGGAAAGTTTGGTGTGAAATCAAGTGGCCAATGTGCTGCAGGTGCGTCTGGCAGAACGCGGGTGCGCACAGCTGCCGGCACTCAGGGTCGGGGGAGGTGCACGCGTCCCAGCCCAGGTGGGGGCATTCAAGAGAGATGAGCCAGCCGCCCCAGCCGGGTTGAGCTGGAAGGAGGAAGCAGGGCAGGCCGGTGGCTGCCAGGCACCGGGGCGGCCACAGGTAGGGCTCAGAGAACTTGGGGGGCGCGGGGAGGGGCGGCTGGGGGTGCAGGAGTTGACAGAGCTCTCTGGAGACAGTGGCTGGGGGTGCAGGAGGACTGCCCGTGTGTGGCTCCAGCGTCAAGTCCCCCCAAGCCCAGCAAAGGGAAGCGGGCTTCCGCCAACCGCGGCCTCCCGCCCCCAGGAGCGACCGGACCCCAAGGACTGGAGCCTGCAGGACACAGACGCCTTTGTGCTGGTCTATGACATCTGCAGCCCGGACAGTTTCGACTACGTGAAGGCCCTGCGACAGCGGATCGCCGAGACCAGGTAGGCGGCGTGGTGGAGGCGGCGCAGGGCTGTGCCAGGCTGCCCAGACCGGGCTGGGGCTTTGCCTGCGGGGAGCGAGCAGGCGCTCCCACCGTCGTGGGGTGGGGAGGGGACGTGGGGCGCCTCGAGCCTTCCAGAAAAGCCCATGAGGTCTGCAGCTGTCCGAGCTTGCGCCCACAAGGGCCGGCTGTGTGCTGGGGGTGGGGAGCAGGTGGGCTCCGACCTCAGCAGATGCGCCCGCGTGTGTACACCCCGGGGAGCGTGTGTGTTCGGTGTTGTGCGGGGAGAGGGTGGTCCCCGGCGACCCACCGGCCTGTCTCCTTCCTCCCCCTCCTCCCCCGGGCCGCAGGCCGGCAGGAGCGCCCGAGGCGCCCATCCTCGTGGTGGGCAACAAGCGGGACCGGCAGCGGCTGCGCTTCGGCCCCCGGCGCGCGCTGGCCGCCCTGGTGCGCAGGGGCTGGCGCTGCGGCTACCTCGAGTGCTCGGCCAAGTACAACTGGCACGTGCTGCGGCTCTTCCGCGAGCTGCTGCGCTGCGCCCTGGTGCGCGCGCGCCCCGCACACCCGGCCCTGCGCCTGCAGGGGGCGCTGCACCCGGCGCGCTGCAGCCTCATGTGACCGGCCGACTGGACGGGCTCGCCCGGCTGCCCTCGGATTGGACGGGGCTGGCCGGGCAGCGACGCCCGCCTCCCCGCGGCGGCTCGGGCTGCAAGCCCCAGCCCTCCTCCCGTTGGCCGGGAGGGACTGGGCTGCGGCTCCGATTGGGAGGGCGCTGGACACGCTGGTTCCGGCCCACCGCCTGCGAGCTAATAAAGGTGCGGAGCGTGGCCAGTGTCTGGGGTTTGTGGTCTGGGCTGGTGGGAGCTTCAGGCGTCCCCGGGGGTCGTGTCCGGCTCCGGCGCCATCCCGCCGGTGGGCTGCAGCATCCCAGCCTGCGATCTAACTGGCCCTCGTCCCCCGTATCCCCAGACTGCTTTCCCACGCGTCAGACTGGTGACTGGAGCAAAACTTTACTGTCAGAGGCTCTGCCGGCCACAGGTCCTCGGCACGCCGGGGCGGCCCGGCCCCCTAAGGCATTCAATAATATTACTCATTATTAAATAGCAACTGTCATCCCTCGATCGGGATGTGCAACACAGGTCCCTTTGAGCCACGTGGTCCCGAGGGGTCTGGTCCCATGAGGTCTGGTGCTTCAAGAGGCGGATGGGGGTGAGGGGGCTCCCTGATGCAGAGGGGGTTAAGGCCACACAGGAAGAAGGGGCTGGGGGCTGGCGGGGTCCGTCACATTGAGGAGTCTGGTGCAGCCCTGGGGGCCACCGCGGGCAGGCCGGGCCAGCCCCCCACCTCCGTGGCTGCAGACGGGCGGCGGGGGCCCCGCGGCGTGGGGATGCGCGAAGGTTTGCGGTCTGGCTGTGTGTCCATCCGGCCCCGGGCCCAGGTCCTGGCGGGTTCCGGGGCGTCGGGAGGCGCCCCCGAGGCGGGACAGGGGCTGCCTTCGTCGGAGGAGCTGGACAGGGCTTGGCTGCGGGCCCCGGGCAGCCCGTTGGCCGTCTGGCCCGAGTCCCCCGCTTGGCCACACTTGCTGCCTAGGACGCTGAGGGACGAAGAGGAGGAACTGGAGGAGCAGTAGGCCGAGTCGGGGGCCGCGGGGTCCGGGGCCCGGGCCGGGTCGGGGGCCGCTCCGGCAGGGCTGCCGCCCACGCTGCTGGCCTGGGCCTCGAGGGCGCGGGCGTTGGCCAGGAACTCCTCCTCCAGGCGCCGGAAGAGCTGCTGCTCCTGCTGGGGGTCGAGCTGCAGGGGCGTGCGGAAGACACTGGCAGGTGTGGCGCCCAGCTCGGGGCTGGGGCTGGAGGCGCGCGGGGTGCGCACGGCGGGGCTGCGCGCGCGGGGAGTGTGCGGGGTGCTCCTGCCCGAGCCCGCGCCCACCCGGCCCCCGGGGACCCACGCGTGCTGGCCGTCCCGGTCCCTGCGCACCAGCAGCACGGCCTGCTCCTCCCGGCTCTGGCTCCGGGCCCGCCGGCCAGGGCTGGGGGCCGCTGCCAGCTGGGCACCCCTGCCGCCCGCGGCGGTTCCCCGGGGCCGCCCCCGGTCCAGCCGGTCACGGGACTGGCTGCGCGGGGCAGGGGTCCGCCTGGGGGAGGCCGGGGTGCCTGTGGTCAGCCGCCGGCTGGGCCGCTCCCTCTGGGGGCCAGTGCTTGCGTCGTCGTTGCGGGCACCAGGGGGGCCGCTCTGGGCCGAGGAGGCGGACGAGTCACTGTCCCCGGAGTAGCGGCGGGCGCGGGGGTGCGGGGGCAGCTGATCTCGGGGCCTGGGGCAGGGCAACAGGAGAGAGCCGGGGCTGACGGAAGGGACATCTGTCCTGGGGACTTCCAGGGAGAAGTGACAGACTTCCTGCAGCTGCTTTAGGGCCCCAAGGCGGGGAAGCGGGGCCGGAGGGAAGCCGGGGTAAGACTGGCTCCGGCCCAAACCCCGAGGCCCGCCCAGCCGTGTTGTTGGTTTGGTCGCGTTGCCATGGAGATGGGAAGCCAGGCCCACCCCCACCCACGGGAACTTTTCCCAGGGAGTGAGTCACTCCGCAGCGCTCCAGCGGCGATTTGGTCACCCAGGGCCCGGGCGGACGTCCCTCCTCCGCCCCAAGCCCCTGCTGCTCTCGCGGCTCACCTGAGCGGGGGCTCGGGCCCCTCTTTTGTGCTTCGCAAGTTGAGAGGCGTCATCTCGGGCCGGGAGCCGCGGCGTTCAGCCCCCGGGACGGGGCTCCCGGGGCGGGGACTGGGGCTGGGCGACACCCTCTGCGGGGAGAAGGCGCGGGCCCTCTGCTGGGCTGGGCGGTGGGCTGCGGGGGCGAGAGGGCAGGGGGTGAGGGGCAGCGCCCCCGACGGGAGCCCCGGCCCTCTCGCCCACCCGCACGGGCACCGACCGGCCGAGGAGCAGCGGCACGGGTCGTGCTTGTCCAGGTAGTGCTCCAGCGTGTCCCAGCCGCCCCCGACGCGCACCATCACGTGGCTCCGCAGCACCTGCAGGAGCCGAGGAGGGGGCAGGTGACCACCGTGCCCCCCGCCAGGCTGCCAGCCCCCCGCCATGGCAACCGCTGACTCACCCGCACAAAGATGAGCAGGCTGGAGTCGCCCACGCGGTACTTGCCCTCCGAGACCTTGATCATGGGGAACTGGTCTGGGCAGGTGCAGTGGCCCAGGATCTCCCTCACCTGAAGCCAGAGAGGACAGGGCAGGAGGTCAGGGGTCACAGGTCCCCCCTCCTCAGGGCTCTGATGTCAGCAACTCCAGGGGTCAGGGGTCAGGGGTCAGGAGGAAGTAACTCCTCCCAGGGTGTCAGGGGTGGAGACTGGCCTGCGCAGCGGCAATCTGCACACACGTGGCCATCGCCAGCCCCTCCTGGCTCTGCCAATGCAGGGAGCTGAGCGAGACCCCCAGGCCACAGGGCCGGGGACCCCAAGGAGGAACAGCCCTCCACTGCCCCCTCTGCCCATTTTTAAGACCAGGAGGTGGAGGCCCACTGGGGGGCCGGGCCCCAGGACACAATTGCAGGTTGAGCCGGAGACACGTGGGGACACACACCCCAACAGGCACCAACAGGCCACCCACCCGGGAAGCACACCACAGCACACGTGCTTCCCGGGCTGGGCGCTGCCAGGCTGGCTGTGTGTGGGCGGCCCTGCCCGCCTCCCTGCCCACAGAGGCGCCGGAGGAAATGAGCAGGTGGGGCCTTGGGTGACCCTGGCTCAGGACGGGGGTGGGGCAGCAGCCTCTGCCCACGGCCATCCGGCTCCCCCACCTTCTGGGCAGACACAGCGATAAAAAGGACACACATTCTGTGGTGGCCCCGGCTGGCTGCGGGGGCGGCAGGGACACCCAGGTCCCAGGAGAGGAGGGAGCCAGCGCCACCTGAGCCCAGGCTGGGCCAGCAAGATGGCCTCTGGTGTCATAAGGGGAGACGAGGAGCTCTGGGCAGGGCCGCAGGGTGCCTGGGAGTGTGCTGGGCACTTCCCCCTGAAACCCTGCAGCTCCCAGTGCAGAGCGGGGGTGCCTGAGTCACGCAGGACACAGGAATGCAGCTCCCTTAGCAGGTGCACAGTTGGCACCAACAGGAAGAGGGGCGAGGAGGCAGGCCCCCCGGCCGTCCTGTGTGTCCTCCCCCTCCGTGGGTGTGCGCAGCCCGCTGGGCCCTGCAGACACCCGGTGGTCCCTGGGGGTGCGCGCGTGGGCGTGGGGCCAGGTGTGTGCCCGGGCCGGGAACTCACCAGCTCGTCCAGGTTGCGCAGGTCGCTGAGCGTCATGCGGGGCCCGCGGCTGGCAGCCCCGGGGGCGGCAGCGGAGGCGGGCCCGGTGGCCGCTTCGCCCGCCGAGGTCCCTTCGGCCGCAGTGGCCGCCGCGGGGGCGCTGGGGGCCGAGGGCGAAGCGCGCAGCTCCCGCTCGATCTCCTGCTCGAACTGCACGAGGCGCGGGGCGAGCAGGCCGAGGCGGGCCCCGCGGCGCGCCACCTCCAGCAGGCACAGCACCACGCTCTTCTCGTTCTTGCGCAGCACCAGGTCCTCCGTCTCGAACATGAGCACCTCGGGCACGCCCAGCTCGGAGCGGCACCAGCCGATGAAGGTGGCCACGTTGTCGCGGGCCACGAAGGAGCCGGGCGCCACGCCGTGCGCCTGGAAGGCCACCCCGTGCGCGGGCCGGCCGGCGGCCAGGGCGCGGGCGGCCTCGGTGACGGCGTTGGCATGCTGGCAGAGGGTCGTGCCCGTGGCCAGGCCCAGCAGGAAGCCCTCGCCGCCGCCGGGCAGGCCCAGGCCGTACAAGGCGTTGAGCCACTCGGCCAGGTCCTCCTTCATGGCCTCCACGTAAGCCTCGCTCGAACGGAACGGCCGCACGCTCTTGGCCGCAGAGCCGGCGATGCTCGCCACGGGGTCCGCCATGCCCAGGCCCGCCGAGTCACTGCGCAGAGGACACGGGTGGGAGGGCAGTGCTGCCACGGCCCAGCAAGCCACCCACCAGCCTGTCATTCAAGCTGAATGCCCGAGAAACGGTTTTGTGCCTCAGTTTTCCTGGTCTGTGAAATGGGTACATTTGCCTACCTCTTAGCAGTCAGCAGAATAGTGGCTGTTTTTTTTTTCTACATCCTCAACTTAGGGTCCTAAGTAGCTCTTTTTTGGGGGTGAGGGAGTGGGAACTGGGAATTGGCTGAGGCTCAGACCGAGAAGGCACGATGAGGGAGGGACAGGTCCTGGGGACCAACCCCAGGAGGGGTCATCTCCCTGCTCCCGTGCGCAGGCCCTGGCCCCTCCGCAAGCCTCAAGTCCCTGGAGACTGTGCCTGGCCCGGCTCGGCCGGCGGGGAGGTCTCCATTTTACAGATGCGATAAACTGAGGCTCAGGGAGGGGTACGTGCGCCCGAGGGCGGCAGGGCAGAGGTGGGGGAGCAGGGTGCCCCGGCCTGAGCGCCCCGCACGGTCCCCGCCACCGCAGCCTGGCCTGCGGGGGTTCAGGCCCCGGTCTCCAGGCAACCCCAGCCCAGCCCAGGCCCCGTTCTTCCTCACGCGCTGGGCCTCGGCCCAGAGAGGGTGCGGGCCGCCCAAGGTCACACAGCCGCGGGGCGCCGAGGCCGAGCCCGGTTCCCGTGGGG